CCGGGGGGGGAGGAATAGCTTTCATTATTATTAAATCTGCAAACTTCCATTGGTTTAACTAGTAGGTTAAAAAAATGAAAGTTTTCATTCAGGGTTCTAAAAATTTATCTCTCATAGAATGTAATAAGAATAATAATAAAAAACCCATCAATTTTACTGAAACCAGTTAACTTGTTAAAAGGTACATTGGTTTAAGAAAAAAAAACTCTTACTATTTGATACTGTTATCTGTTGTTATCCATTCTTAACACTTCTAAGGAAGAACTTTCCAAAAGTATATTTCAGATCAATACATAGCAGTCAAGCCTTCCTTTGTACACTTACATCGAAGAGTAGGATAAATTTTATAGCCAAAGAAACAATTCCATTCGTCTCCTTCTTTAAACTGCATTTTGCAGCGTTCAGGAACAAGTCCATTCCAATACCTGAAACATGAAATGATAATGGGAATTAATTACACAAACTTACTTATTTTGCTGGTAATATTTCACTGTGTTACCCTGGATCATCTGAGAAATGACAAGTCTCAAAAATTATGGACAGCAGAGGGCAGCAAAGCTGCACCTTCGAAAGTGACATGCTTTTACAGGGAGGAAATTCTCATGATGTCACATCAGGATATTATCCTATGTAGCGCACACCTTTCCATAGAAATGGGTTTCACAGGTATGATTAATTTTCTAAATAGCTAAAGGCAGCAGATACCTCACAATTACAAAGAGAAAAAGATTGGGTGTCTCAGTCCACTCACAGACTTTCTGGGAAGGGAGACCTTAGAATACTTCAGTACCTAATTCCTCTCCTGATGGCCTCAGTGGGGGCGCAGGTTATGGTATCAATGCAGTCTGTTCTACGGTACTGTTTATTATCCAAGAACCAGCCAGAGTCTGCAAGGCCACGGACCTGAATCCCAGGATATCCCATCTGTTCCAGCTGCTCGGCCACCCGATCCACATTTAAGAGCACCCCTGTTCCGCCAGCACTGCAACGATAATGTCACTCATTCAACGAGATAAACAGCATAGCTATTCAATGCCATTTACAAATGAATAAAAGAACTGGAACTGTTTTATGAATCAGGTTGTTGAGGGCTCCATGGCCTGTTTTCTAAACAATAAAGGAACAGTAGCTCCTTGAAAGATAAAAATGCAGTGGTGCCTCGCATAGCAACGATAATCGGTGCAGCAAAAATCGCTGCAAAGTGATTTCGTCGCTATGCGATATTAAAAAACCCATAGGAATACATTGAAACCCCTTCAATGCGTCCCTATGGGCTTCAGACTCACCTTTAAATGAAAATCCTCCATACAGCAGCCATTTTCGTTGCCCGGTAAGCGAGGAATCTGTCCCAGAAGACAGTGGGCGGTCATTTTTTTTACCCGGTGGCCATTTTGAAACCGCCGATCAGCTGTTAAAAAATCATTGCTTTGCAATGATCGGTAAGCGAAACAGGGTACCAATCATCGCAAAGACATTTTTCCTTATTTAAAACATCGCAATGCGATCGCAAAAGCGATCGCAAAATCTTCATCGCTATGCGATTTCATCGTTAAATGGGGCGCCCGTTAAGCAAGGCACCACTGTACTAATATGGCTGCTTAAAAGAAGAACAAAAGATTACAAAAAGAGACCTTTTGGTCATGGTGCCCCATCTCTAGAACACTTCCCCCAAAGTGATCCACCTAGGATCAACTTTCATTCATTGCAACAAGGGAGATATTTTCATCTGCCTTTGTATTTCAGCTGCACTATGAGTCTCTTTATTTATGGTTGCAGACTCTCCACATTTAGCAGTTTTAATTGCCACTCTTCATCTTTTCTTTAACCATATATTTACTATTTTACTGGATGAAACCATGAGGGCTTTGCAGAAGGAAAGGGATTGATATTTTCTAAATGAATGAATAATTGCTAATAGCAGAGCATTTAAATGTAGTAACTATAAAACAGAGATTGTTTTCATTTAGCATGTTTTCCTTAAGAGGACAAGATATGACTATGACATCATCATCATCATCATCATCATCATCATCATCATCATCATCATCATCATCATCATCATCATCATCATCATCATCCAAAATAACAAACCAATCTGTTATTTATTTATTTAGTTGTCTTGTGTCTTTTTGAAGGAGAACGATAGAATAAAATATTTTAAATACTGTAAATAAATGTAATTAATTAATTAATTTGCCACCTTTCTCCCCATATAGGACCCAAGGGGGCTCACAACCATTCAAGCTATACATGGCCAGCCATTTAACTCCTTTTGCCATCACTCCATCACACTTTCTCTTTAGTCTAGACCCTCTTCATAGACACTCGTGTACCTGCTTCCTGCCAACAGCAGCACTTTAGCGTTCCCAAGGCCTTTTCCCACCAGCTCCTTTACCACCTCTTGGATGATGAGGGCACCCATGAAGACAAATTCATCTGTTTCAGGGGGAAAGAAAAATGTTGTTCATAGTAAGCAAAATTGCTTGGCTAAAAAGTTTTCCTCACTCCTCTCCGCTGAAGGTTTAGCACCTAAATAAACCCAGAGAAAAAACAGAATGTACCATACAGTACTTTTATAGGATAAATTATAAATGGATAAGTGGCCTCAGAGAGTGGGCCGATGCTCACCTCAATCTTTAAGATGCCACAACTTTTTCTTTCTTTTTCTTCTTGGTCTGATATGCTTGCACAGATTAATTTTCTTTGAAAATTATAAATGATATATTTTATGGGAAATTTAGTGATAGCTATTACACCTTAAGCCTTAGATTTTTGTATTTTTTCTTGGCTTGATGCCAGAGTCTTAAAAATCATGCTGGTAGGTTGGTTTTACACCCTGTATAGTTGCACCAAATAGAAATGTGGCCTCTCTTATGTTTGAAACAATACTTCCTCTGACTTGATATGGAACAGCAATTCAATGGCCTTCTACAGTACAATATAACAAGTGAAGATTTGTATGATTTATACACACTGTACTAAAGTAGCAGGTCACAGAAGAACATTTCATTAGGAAGCAAGGCTCCATTTCCCTACAGATAACGAATGAGAATAAGAATGAATCCCTACTCCTAGGTTATGTTTTCTGCCTCAAAAGTTTTATGCAGCCAGCCACTGTTTCCAGATAAAGAGTAGACATTCTAGGAGAACACCCTTTTTTTTAGTATTACAGCTCCCATATTTTGTAGGAAATGGTCTAAGCCAATGGCTCAATGGCAACTTAGAAATGATTACTAATCTATGGTAAAACCTCTTTGGCTTGTCAGAGGAGTTCAGTGCCTCTAAATATTTGGCTGGCACTCGATCTATCAGAGGATAGTAAGCACTGGTCGCATGCAGTGTGAAACAATACCTTTGTACCCATCATTTAAAAGACTGGGAAGCTTTTATCTCTGCACTTTTTATTAGATAATTTCTTAATGGCAATAAATAAAGAAGAAGCATATCTTGTTGTATGTCAAAGTTGAAGGTTTCCTAGCTACAGAATTGATGACAAAGTATTTGTTATGTGCTCTGACAAGTAATTATATTCAGCAATGACAATGTAGCAAATAAATGTTGTGAAACAAGTAGCAATACATGGGACTGATAGTCTTCTAATTATTAGTTGTTTTATGGTACAGTATACAGTGGGGTCTTGACTTGAGAACTTAATCCGTATTGGAAGGCGGTTCTCAAGTCAAAAAGTTCTCAGGTCAAATCTGCATTTCCCATAGGAATGCATTGAAAACCATTTGATCCATATCTGCTCTTTTCCGTCCATAGAAACTAATGGGAAGCTGCTATTCTGCCTTCGACCACTAGAGGGGGATATTTTGTTTCTTTTTTTCTTGGGTCAAGAAAGGTTCAGGGAAGGCAGGGAAAATACAGTCCAGGCAGGACAGTACCAGGCAGTCCGAAGTCTGTCTCCCAATCCACTCGCTAAATGCTGGGAGGAGTGAGGAAGCAGACAGGCACCCTTTTCACTGGCCAACAGTTAACTGAAAGTTCAAAGTTTGCACTTTCCCTGCCTCCCACGTGGGTTTTTTTTATTTATTTATTCAATTTATATGCCGCCCAAACTACCCAGAGGTCTCTGGGCGGCTTACAATAATTAATGTATGGGTCTGATAGTCTTCTAATTATTAGTTGTCTTATGGTATATTCCTTCTTGACTCATCATATCCTAAAATAACATCCTCCTGTTACTGAGCTAGAAACTTCCAGTTCGATTCTTGCCTGTGCCATGAAACCCAATGGTGACATTCCCAAAGTTACAAATGCTCAGTCCTTGTCATTTGCAATGGAGACATAAAAATAGTGACCTGTTTTTACTGGGTTGTTTTAACTACTGAGATGATTGCCAGACTTCTATTAGTTATTTACATTGGCGGAAGTGCAATGGTGTGAACTGCAGTGGCAAGTTGCTGCTAGTTGAGTCACTGCTTGTATTCCTCAATGCAATACCAGTCACATGACATGGCATGCAATGAGGAATACACCGTACTGACTCATCAGCTATTGGCCATGTGCCACTTGGATGAACACTAGCTCACATAGCCAACAGGATTCTAGCCAATGAATATGAAGCATGTTGAATGCTTGAAAATTAAGGCTGCTAATAAAAATAATCAAGCGGTACCGCCATTTCACTTGTCTGGCCTTCCTAGCTCCTGTGTATTCTCCAGTAAGGTAGCTCTATAACACACCGAGAGGCGGGAAAGACTTTCTCCTTAGAAGCCAGGGGGTGAGCTGGCAATTCTGAGGGATTTTCTCTACAGCAAAAGGACTTGTGCTGTATCTCCCTTTCTTTTATTCTGCCAGGATGGAGAAGAGAGCAAAAAGTAGCACACCACCATCCTAACGAGCGCTTTCAATAACCCCTTTCTTTCTATTTGTGCCTATCTACATGAGACCACTGTTTTCTTTCCCAGTTAAGAACTGTAGCACACAGTCACTGAACTGCTACCAGCTGTGACCGGATGTGGTCATTTGAAGCCGTGTAACTGCTTCCCCTATCCTATCATAAAGGGCCAGCATATTCAAATGCTGACATGACAGCACCAAAAAAGAGCCTCAAATGGCAATATCCAGTCCAGTAATCTTCAAAGCATACCCTAAGCAAGGATGTTTGTTTCAAGACTCCAGGTCTCTTAATCCCTCACTATTGGCTGTGCAGGTTGGAACTACGTAGTAGAACTATGTAGGGTAAAACTCCTGGAAGGCCAGAAGTTCCCTCTCCTCATCTTAAAGAAAAAGTTGACCATTCCCCCCCCCCCAAAAAAAAGGATCTGTGTTGGCTTGCAGCAACCAAAAACAACAATGAGCCTTATGGCACCTTAAGGAAACAGAGAGTATGGCAGCAGCTTTTGCCATAATAAGGCTATTTCTATTAACAGGGAGCAAGAGAAAACTCACACACAGCTGAAACAGGGACTACCTCAGTTTGCTTTTAAACTATGTGTGGGGTCAATGGTGCTGTTGTACCATCTGGACCTACAGCTTGGATATGTGCCCATCTGAGTGGCCAAATCACTGCTTGGAAGAAAGGGCAACAAAATCCTTTATTGCTGATGCATTTTGAGATTAAACTCTCCAGAGAATACAGATGATTTAGCAATAATCATAATAACAATAACCATAATAATCTTAGAACTGCTTTGCTGGAAGGAACCCTATGGCTCATTGAATCCAGCCTCTGTCAAGGAGATACAGCAGGAAATCAAAATTTCCAACTTCTGGCTCCACAGCCAGATACATAAACCATTGAGCTATCCAGCAGCACCATTTGCAATTTCTCTCAGTATGTGTGAAAATGTCCCTTACTGATGTCTCTGAAATCAATGCCATATAAAAAAATGCTGACTGACTGAAACAGGCTGTTAGAATAAAGGATGATGTTTCCCCTGCCCCCACAACAACTGGCCTTTTCAGGTCACAGATTGTTCATTTAACCCAAATCTCTGTCTTGTAAGACAGGATTGTAAATAGTAAGTAGCTGTATGTAAGGCTGTGACACAGGATAAACCCTTAGTGGTATCCAGCATTCTGGGATGTCAGTAGCTGTGACCAAATGGAAGATGAGTATCTTGAAGAGGCAATATTAACGTAGGAGAAGGATGACAGGAGGGCCCACCACCTTCAAGAGGCACAGAGCCCTCCTTCAGTTAAGACAGGGACAAAGACCATGAAGACAAAATATTTCCTCATCGCTTAGATTAATGTCTTCAAGGGGCATATTTCTTGGCAGGCCACCCTATGAACATTTTGTAATAGATATAGTGGGAGGGCCCTTCTGTCTACCCACTAGGAGGATTCTTGACCCAGTTTGTAAATATTGGCACTGTCCAGTCCTTTCTCACCAAACAGAAAAATCAGACTCTATCCTGCTGGTGTGTGTGTGGGGGGAGGAGGGCTGGCTGAATGGAATGGCTGCCTCAGATACTCAGGATGCAGCTATTCACCCTCAGGGCAGGCCTCTGACACTCTGCGTGATGGGGCTCTGAACCACGACGAAGCAAGGGTTGGAAGCGGATGTTTTTTATCTAGAGGATATTTATTATTCCTTCCTGCCCACTGGCAAGAACACCCGTCCTCATTTGCACAACTGTTGAGAAGTCAGGCTGTATCCCCTTAATGCATAATGTCTGTCTGGCAACAAGAGCCTGTCAGAAGCACTCACTTTTCTCAGTCTTGGCAGAGGCTCCACTCCAGACATCGCTCGAGCAATAGGGGATGAAACTGCAAGAGACAAGAAGTATGTGAGCGCTGATATTCCTTTGACGTACAGGGAGGGGGTACAACAGGGGTCAGGCTACGTGAGACACAAAGGAACCCATTTTATACCCAGAACAGTTATTCCCAGAATGAATTCACTTTAATCAGTTCATTTTAGTGACTCGTATTCCTCCTCTGCTAAACCCTGCTTTGCATTTGACATAACCACCAAATATCCCAGCGCCTACAATGTTAAGCATATTCTTTGAGACACACATAGGGGAACTGCAAATGGCCACAGTTTTGAGCGTGTGCAATACGTGCTTGAATAAATACGCTAGCCTTCTTCCTAATACCAAACTTTGCCAGGGTAACCATGCATAAACCCTCAGTTATTTTCAGGTAGGTAACTATCCGCTGGAGCAGAAGCAAGAAAACATTTTGTGGCACCTTAAACACTGGCCAGTTTTATATGACATGAGCTTTTGTAAATGGCAACCTCGCTCATCACGTGTATCCTTGGGGTATTTTTCTGCCTAATGCAAATGCCATTTTGTTTTTGGTGTAGATGAAGCAAGGCTCCCTGCTTTCTTTATTGTTTCTGTCTTGTTCCTCTCTGTGTAAAAACTTCACTGAAACTAGCAATCGCCTTAACTTGATGATTTTTACATTTTATAAAACAAAAGGACTATTTGATACAGGCTTCTAGGCTTCTCAAAACAGTGGGGGTGGGACTCACCAGGCTGCTAAAGAGTAGGGGCAAATACTCCTTTGCAACCAGGCAGGATTCCCTTTCCCCTTGTAAGAGGGGGTGACAGGACCTCTGACGGAGAAGAAAATAACACCTTTGCTGTTTTGTCTGGCCATCCTTCAACACTCCATTCTTGGGAAAAGCGTTTCAGTGTGCAGGAACAACTGAGCTCCAATTATTTCAAGGTGGAGCGAGTTACGTATATAGATCAGTTTCAATCTGGATTAAATTCTCATTGGCCAAAATCCTACTGTGTAACAGAAGCAAAGTAATGAGTTTCCATCTCTTTCTAATGAGTAAATAAAGAACTCCCACCAGTTCTCAGGGATATGCAAGCATGCTGACTTGGTGTGTTTGTGTGCGCCTGTATCCAAGAATCATGGCAGGGGCGCTTTATTGTCCATCTTAGATGGTGACCAGGGGTATATTTGGACAGTTAAAGTGAGTGCACCAACCACATCCATTTCAGGATATGTTGTAATGCATGCCTGTTATATCCTGTTCAGACTACCGTGTTTCCCCGAAAAAAGGACAGGGTCTTATATTATTTTTGTTCCAAAAATGCATTAGGGCTTATTTTCAGAGGATTTTTTTATTTTATTCATGTACAACCATCTACATTTATTCAAATACAGTCATGTCATCTTCTTCTGGTTGCTGAACAAGGGTGGAGGGCAGGGTTTCACTGAACTGGGGCTTATTTTTGGGGTAGGGCTTATATTATGAGCATCCTGAAAAATCATACTAGGGCTTATTTTCAGGTTAGGTCTTATTTTCAGGGAAACAGAGTACTGCAGTGCATACTATGTGGGGTTGCCTTGAGAGTTAACAGCTAGTGGCTGTCCCATTTTATAATTTATTCAGTTTTTTTAATTCAAGTGTAATACCACCATTATTAAGTATAAAAGGAAAGTGCTGTTTAGAAAGGGAGAAGAATGCCCTTTCCTTATGCTGATTACTCAGTTTCATCAGTGGTGTTTAACATCATAGTTAGGATTTCCACACTGAATCACACCAAGTTCCATCTAATCCAGCATTCTGTACCAAAATCTACAACTTACACATGGGGCTTAAGCACAACAGCCATCTCCACAATCCTTTTCCTCATCATCCACTGCTCATATTGTTTTTATAAGGCTCTGCATTGTTTATGTTGGTTACAAAGTCAATTTTTGTGAATCTGCCTAATCCATTTTAAGGCTACTTAAACTAGTGGCCAAGGACCCATGCTGTTCTTATTTCCCTTTCTAATAATCACATTAGGGAATGCTTCTTATTATTACACACATTATCTTCGTCTGCAAATTGCATTCAGTTCCATTTTAAAGTTACTTGTGACAAGTTGCAAGACCCACTCTTGTTTATTTCACACCAGACTAGATTCCTGTTTCCTTTCTGGTTCCTGTCTTTACTTGTGTGCCTTCCACAACCCATTCCTCCTACTTACACCATATTTGCATTCCACCAATGTGGATTTTCCTCTGGTTGGGAAGACAAAATGCCAGTTCCTGCAGATGAAAGAAAAACAAACAAACTAAGAAATAGGAATAAAATTCTTCAAATAGTAAAAGAGATTTCAGTAACACATGGAGAACCTTGAACAAAAACATAATCGGGAAAGATTCTACTTTGGATAGAGAAGTAGCTCCATCAACATACTCCCCTGGATTTTGAAGCAAAAATACTGTAACTCTTCATTGGACAAGTCAAGGTGGAATCCTACACAACTCTAATGAGTCTTAGGTGCCACAGATTTCAATGAGGCTCATTTCTTTAAAAGTGAACATAAGATTGTGTCCTCTAAAGCGGTGGTTCCCAACCTTGAACTAAAACACTCAGAAACTTTTACCACTAGCTGTTCTGGCCAGGATTTCTGGGGGTTGTAGTCCAAGAATATCTGGGGACGCAAGGTTCGGAACCACTGCTCGAAAGTGATTTTAAACATATTGGAAGGAGCACTATTGGTATTTGCATAAAGTTTGTGCAACTTCCTGTGGCTAAATGTGGTTGACTGATGAGATGCTGTGGTGCATCTAGTAATCACATGCATTACTAGGCATACAACCAAGACACCCTCTCAGCAGCTTATCAATTAGCTGCAATGAGCTGTGAAGAGTTACATAAACATGCAAACATTAATAGGATTCTGGCCATTCTTATTCCTCTAAGGGTGTACAAATGCTGTCCAAGGGCAACCAGGGACTGTTTCAGCCCTGTTATGGATCCTCCTATAAAGCCATAACCGCTCCAACCTCTCTGAAAACAGCCTACGTCCTTGGTGTCCAAGAGACAGTTGCAACTCTTAACAAGCATCTGGTAGGATTTGTTTAGGAGGCCTCTCTGCATGCCTTAAAACCATCCCTTTCGTCATACTTCATTGCAATCTCTGCAACCAAGGGATGGGGGGGGGCAGGAGATTTTATCAACACCCAATTTACTGACAGTACAAACACAGAAAGGCTCCCTGGGTGGCCGTCCCCTCTTTCTTCTGAGGTTCATTACAACACAGATCTAAGCAATTTCAGAAGATGCTCCCAAGATGATACCACATGATTTCAAACAAGGACAGTTTATAAAAGCATAACATAGAGTAAATAACTAAAAGAAGAAGGAGAAATTCAATGCAAAGTTTTTTTTTAATCAGCATTAAGGTTGAAAGGCATTTTCTGTTTTTCATGATGTTGTTCAAATATCTATTGCTCTGAGCCATTAAAGATCACAGGAATCAGTAGCCATTTGTAGCTCCTGGATACCTATTTCTATTGATAATGATTATAATGATAATGATGTAAGAACAGAGATTTTTAACTGGAGTGCTGCTTTTTCATACCCATATGCTCTAGAGAAGCAGAGCACCATAAGAACATAATGGCTGGAATCGTACCTAGACGAAGCCTACTAAATCACTGGGGATTTGGTAAGTCAACTCCATGGTAAATTCCATTCATTCAGTGGGCCTACTCTAGTTGTGACTTACTACTGGATTTCAGCCCCCCCCCCGCTCAATCGCTCGATATAAAAGAATCACTACCATTTACAATCTAGTTGCAATTATTTCCAAAACATAATACAGGAACTGAAAGTTTGTTTCTAACAGTGCTCCAAAGAAGGGAGGGTGAGGGAATGGTAGATGCCTCTACTGCCAGCTTTTGCCAGCCACAGCAGAAGGAGGGGCGGTTTTTTTCTCACCTGCCCCAACAGGGTTGCCAAAAGTTGGCCCTGTTTATGCTACCATGGTGAGTTTTTTTCTAGGTAGAGCAGGCACTTCTGCAGTAGTACTTCCAGCATGAGTGAAGGAGCAATAGTGCCTTATTTTAAGGCACCCATCAATCTAGAGGATTACTCTGAAATATGCAAACAAGACGGAAACATTTCAGATTCATTGCAGCAGCCCTCACCATTAACAAGCCTGAGCAAAAACTTGCTGCAGCATCTCAAACAAGAGTGGGCAACTTCAAGAGAACTGGAGTCTTACTGAATTACTACTTTACTGTCCCCCATCCTGACAGGTCACAGCAGGGTGTGATTTTCCCTTCCAAATTCAAGAAAGGGCAGTTCAGCAGCAGTTGCCAGGGTGCCCAGCATACAACCAGTGGTCCAACAGCCACCTGGCCGAATGCTGTGTAAACTGTCTGCACAATTATCATTGCATGCATGGTCATTTCATCAGGAAACGGACTAATCATATTATGAAATTCTCTCCCCATGGAAGTGGAACAGGTTTCCTTTCTGTTCAGAGTCTGCTGTATTAATGCTGAATTAATGAAAGAGGAGTACGTGTGTTCCAGAGAGACAATGCAACACCAAGTATATGACAATACATCTCTTACTATCTATCTCTACATAAAGCAAGAACAATTTGTAATTCATAACGTAAATCCTAGGCAAACAGGAATAAAGGATTTACCTGTTCTTGTAATGGGCCAATCCTTAGAGCTCATAAGCCTTCTCATCGTGTCATACCGACTATTACAATTTTCTCTGTTAAAGCAGTACCAGCCTCCTAATTCAAAAACACAAGGGAACCAAAACCAGAGAATGTCAGGTTTCTATTTTGCCACTCATTATATTCTTTTAGGCTGCAATTTAATAATAAGACTGTGACCTCAACATGGACAGAGTCTCTGCTGGATTCGGTAGAATCCACTTCTAAGGCAGGGCTCAAATTCTACTCTACTCTTGTGCAACAGCTGGTGGCCCTGGATGAAGATGTAAGTCACTGTGTGACTAGAAAGACGCATCCTATCTCTTCAGTAGACAGAATATTGTTCTCTCTGCATGGATCTTTTTTTTTCCTGCTGCAATAGGGCAAATGTACTCAAGACCAACACAAACACTTATTTAGCAAAAAATGCTGGATGCTGTAAGAAAATTATTCAGTCTGTTAATTAAATGCTTCAGATGATCAAAAACATGCAAATCATTTTTTAAGCAATGTTATTTAGTAATGTTAACTCTTAGCCATGGCCACTTCCAAATTAAAGCTGAGGCTATCATCCTAAGACTTCTCCCTTGGAATAAGGTTCCACTGAAATGAAATATACTTATTTACAAACAATTCCTTCTAGACTGGGATAAGAAGAGCCTGGCAGCTGCTTTCACACTGTGCAGAGAAAAAAGGAGCATATATGAAAAGGCTGAATGAAATCTGTTTATAGGATTACTGCAGGTATGTAATAAAACCTGGTAATACAAGGCTGTGTACATTATACAGCACAACAGGAAACAGGTGGCTTGAAGCAAAAATCCTGTACACCAGCCTTCCCCAATCCAATGCTTGCCAGACATGTTCAGCTACAACTCACATCATCCGGAGCACAGCGTGGAAATCTGTTATGTGGGCAGAGTCCTATTAAACTTCATAGAACTTACTTCTAAACATGTCCCTGTACTGCAGGCAGCTTTGATTAGAGTTAGGTGAATAATTAGGCTGTCAGGAAACCCACAGGGGGCAGAAGCAGAGTGAAAGGGGAGAAAGGATAGAGACACTGGTTACAGAGAAGGCAGCCAGCAGCACATACACCCATTTGCCTCAAGCCTTTGAAGCAAGCAGCTGGGAAGCTCTTCCACCATCTCTTGATTTTTACAAAAAGAGCCTAAAATGATTGAACTTTTGCTTAAAAAGAATATTTAAAATAAAAATAAAGGAAATTCAGGCTCACCTTCCAGGAATAGCAGCCACCTTCTACTGCCTTTCGATTCTTTGAGGTAGTATCTAAAACAAAAACAAATAGAAGGCAGTGTGAACTTAATTAGGGAGACTGGCTTGCTCAACCACAAGCTCTTTGATACACCAACTCATTATAATATCAAGAGGGTTACATAAAATACTTGGTTAAAGAACAAGAGAAAGAAACAGGACGGCTGTCAGAAGAGCTCCAAACAGTGCCTGATCAAAGGGCCTTCTCAGGGACCCTGAGCCAGGCTGAGCTGCCTTTCATCTTGCTCCAAACTAAATGCATTAAACAAATTCCTAGCATTCCTAAGTATTTCCAGGCAGGAAAGAGTTATTCCACCTGTTACTGGCTGTGATCTTAGTAATGGCCACATGGTGGAAGCAAAGCCTGAACACTAGGAAGGATTGTTTCAGTACTTTTTGAAGTACAAGTACTGTACTAAGTATGCTTATAACAAGGAGAGAGAAGGGAAGAAAGAGACCAGCAAATGGGATTAATAGTAAACAGTCCTACATGCTTTCTCAAGCATGCCACTTCAGCAAAAAGTGCTCCTTTCCAAAGAAGGTGAAAATGGCATCCTTATTTATTCGGGACATTATATAGAGACCATCTGCGGCATGGACTGGAGAACCCACAGCATTCTGATGCAATTTGATTGTGCTAGTTGAATTTTTTTTTAAATGGCATGATCGGATGGGGCATAATCATAATGGGGTGCAGTTCCAATCAGCACGTTTTTCTTTTCCTTCTCCCTAACTCTGTCTTCAACAGAATCAATGAAACCATGCATTTCTGTGAGGCTCCAGAGATCCCTTTGAATGTTTGATGCTTGAGGGAAAGAGAGCTGCTGGTAAACTGGAAGGCACAGAACCAGATACTGACGGCCAGATCAAGGCGAGGAGACCGAAAGAAGCAAAGGAAGGAAGGAGTGAGTTGAAGAACTGGAAGATCTTCTGAAAATATTCCTATCTCACTTTTAGGCACATAAGCTAATAAGGTGGGCAAATGAGAGCCTCAGGGGCTGAGGTACCCTGAGGTGGCTAAGGGATGCTAGAAGCCAAGGGGGTTTAGGCTCGGAGGGCGCACTCACCCGGCAGGGCTGCCGTCGTTGCAGGTGACCGAGCTGTTGAGCAGTAAGTGGAGTCTCAGCTCCTGATGCAGATTCTGAGCGGAGCAAGGATAGAGCGACTGCGCCAGGCTCTTGATCTGAGCCATGAAACTGTCCATGTTCCCCTCCACGGCGGTAAAGTCCAATGGGAAGCTCTCCACCGGCTGCCCGGCCGCTTCGCTCCGTTCTCGGGCCGCCGCTGCGGGCTGCTGCTGGTGTTGCTGGTGTTGCTGCTGCTGTCCGCGCCGCCTCCAGCTCTTCCTGCCCTCCCCGCCGGGGCCCCAGTGGAGCAGCCCCAAGAGCAGCAGCATCTGCACGGTCCCTCTGCCCATCGCGACGCGGAGCCACCTGCTGGGAAGGAGGAGAGGAGAGG